GGTGAGGTCGCGTATCGTTTAGCCCTACCTCCCGAGTTATCAAGCATTCATAATGTATTTCATGCATCGATGTTACGTAAGTACGTGTGCGACCCCGATCATGTCATTCCTCATACGGATATTCAGGTTCAGCCAGATCTATCGTACGAGGAGCGACCGGTAGCTGTACTAGACCGTCAGGTTCGTCAGCTCCAGAAGCGAGATATTCCCCTCGTGCGTATTCAGTGGGATCGCCACGGAGCTACTTGGGAGGAGGAATCCGATATTCGCGCTCGTTTTTCAGACTTTCAGTTTTGATGTACATATTTCTTATCCTATGTACATAGTTCATGTATATCAGTTATATTTTGAATTCCCAAGGATGGAAATTTTGTAAGGAGGGAGGATTGTAATATCCCGATATTTTATCAGTATAAATTATGTTTTAGTTCCGATATAATAATGTTATCGATTATTATTGTCGGAATTAATTATTTTCAGTCGAGATTACCGAAAATTATTTTCGACGTACCGTTTACGTTCAGAATAATTTTGGTAATTAAGCATTATGTTTAATTAAATAATTAAACATAAGAAGATGATTAATTAACAATTAATCATCAAATTAAGTCTTAAGCCGTCCAAGTTACTCTTAATGCATGGAAAAAGCCGTATGGGAAATTATATTTCCCAACTTTTGCTAAAAGTTTTCCTAAGTTTTAAGGGAATAATTTCCTTCCACATATTTTAAACTCCACACGTGCCATGTATTATGAGATGCAAAAGTGATTAGTCATCCAAGATTAATTCATTAATTGGCAAGTGTCTTAAGCCTAATAAAGCCACGTCTAGGTGGTGTCACCCCATCTCACGGCCTTCTCTATATAATGGATGTAGAGTTGGGAAAATTTCCCTTTTTCCATAAGTAATGTTCAAGCCTTAAAGTTCAAAATATAAAATCAGCAAATTTCCTTAAATTTTCTTACCACACGCACGGTTAGTAGAGGCACGTCAAGTAATAGCATCGCACGGCAGTATAGCACGGCAATAGGCCATCGCACCAGGCAGCACACGCAAGGTCTCGAGCGATTTCGATATTCCGACGAGTACTTAAGAAGGTATAGTCATCCTCGACTTAGTTTTATGGCCATGAGTTCATTTTAAGTTGAAGTGTTCGACTCATGTTCAAGAGGTTATAGTACTGCCGTGTTAAAGTTTGAATATGCCTAAGTTGAATCGTGATCAAGTAATTTCTTTTCTACCCGGCAACTCTCGTAAAATTCATGTTTATTTGTTCAGTTTAGATCATTTCATGCCCAGTTAGTCCATGTTGGTCGAGGCAAAATGCTGTTTTATGTGTTAAATGGCCCAAAGCCGTCGCCAGCGCTCATCGCGCGTGGCCACGGGCGGCACCAAGTCATGTTCTGTTACCTTCAGTTATGGTCATGTTCTTCCGTGCATTTACGTCTCAATAGCTGTATAATGATGTTTTATGTTAATTTGGTCTTGTGTTGCCGAGGGAAAAGATGATTCGGTCCGGGGACGGCTTATCGCCGTCGGTGGCGCACGGCGCGCTCGCCACGGCCCGTTCAGTTGATCATGCGAAAGGTTATATTTTTAAGTCATTTGGATGATTATGTTCATGTTGAGTCAGGTGATGTTGTTTTATGTTGAAGTTGTCGGAAAGAAACGCCGGACGGCCGACAAGTGTTGGTTGTACATGCGCTGCCTGCATATCGCGGTAGCAGCGTACCGGCAGGGGTGC